AAAAGCATTCAGTTACAATTCTACAATATCCTAGGCCCATCCAGGTCTGTTTTGATATCTCACCTAACATAAAAAAACAGTCAACAACTTACCTCTCTCAAATTGCTAGGATTTGAATGCCACCATACAAATTGATTCATGTTTTTGTCCATTAATGGTCCGTGGGTTTCTTTAAATGAAGTCCATGTTAGAATCCATAGTTATCAGTGTTCTGAAAAACTGAAAACCTCAAGAATGTCAATGCACATCCCTGTGTCAATCACTTGGATCCCAATTCATTATGAATAAGTTATAAAGACTCATTAGATGGGCAGAATTTAGTGGACATGACATTGAATAGCAGATTGAGGTGGCAAAATCAGACTGTATTTTTAAGACATTACTATTAACCGCATCTGGAGGATTTCAAAACATTACTTTGTACCATATTTTTATGTATTCTAAATATACACCACACTAAGAGCATACAAAGATGGGGAGAATTTGGATACCAACACTTTCCAGAAACTGGAATAACAAGATTTAAGCATAGACAAGCTTTTAAAATTTAAATATCACAAAAGTATATATACTTGTCTCGTTTATGGTTTTTTTTAACCTATCTGAAGAACATCTTAGTATTTAAATCTAAAAATGCTTACTAGTTTCTTTTTCATAAAACACACATGCAACACACAACAATATGGCACAAATTCAGGGTTTCCTCCATTACAACATCCAATCCAATGACAGGACTCTGCAATGTCTCAAGAGATTCCATCTCATTAGATGGCCCATACACACAATCACATCACTGGGGCTGCATCTAGGTAATGATTCATGCTTAGATCTCATTACATAGCTGCATGGGCCATCTGTATTTTTCCATTTGATAACCAAAAACAATCTAGGCACAATACTTGTTTTTTGGTACATGCTCATTCTTCACTACATTTTAGACGCCTAAACAAATACTCTTAACAAAGGAAACAATTTAATCTTCATGAATGAATTGGTTTTTTTTGGGGGGGGGGTTCCCACAACTGTGGTATTTCTGTGTAAATACCAGGTGAAACCCCTGAATAATTTTTAGAAATTACTATTTTCGTCATGAAATACTCCTGATTTTAATCTCAAACTAAGTATTACTCCAACATAGAAAGAAAAGCTGAAGAAAAAGAAAGGCAAGCTTATGTTGCTGAACCAACTAGCAGCTCCGCGTTGCAAGTGCCGGTTAGCATTTCATGACCTCCCTAACATCATTCTCCTGGAAGTCCTTCCCGGAAAATTAAAGGAACTTGAGAGAAGCTAAATTAGTCGCTGTATCCCGTTCACCCAGATTAAAGTATTAAGACCCATTTCTAAATTCCAATACCACAATGAAACAAAAAATAAAATCTACGTCCTGAATCTCTCCTTCCCCCGAGAGCCTCATAAACCAAACTGGAGTCACTTCCACATGCACAGGGGGACAGATCTGGGGAAGGTTCGGTTCATTCATTCACTCATTCATTCATTCGGCAGCGTCTAAAGAACGCCTAGCCGCGCCAAGGCACCGTCCTAACTGACGAAAAGACGAGGCTCCTGTCCACCTATTGGCAGACGAGTCGGGGGAGGTAGGAAGCAGACGTTAGGTCCGCTCCACCAGGCGCACCAATAGCGCCACGCAGCCAGGACGATTCCCAGAAGACTCAAGCTGTCTACACTACCTCAACGACCTCGGCCCCCACGACTCCGTCTCCAGGAGTTCCCCATATCCCTGTCTCCTCACAATGTCCCCTTTCTTCCACCCACCACCTAATTAATGCGAGAGCTACCTCTCTCCGCCCGAGCTTAGGATCCCGAACAAACCCGCAGTCAACCCCAGGTCCCACCCCCGCCCCTGGCTCAGGTAGGTACCGCGCGCAGTTTACCTGCGGGAGATGCAAGGCTCCCAGCGGACCACAGACGGCCCGCCCCGCCCATCGCGACGCCCTCCACGGCCAGGACCCGCCTCCGTGGCGCAACTTCCCGTGCGTCACATCCGGCCGGAATTTTACCTGGCTCTGTGGTGGTCCCGCAGGTCGCCCGGGTCCGTTAGTTGACGTCACTTCCAAGCTGTTTCTGGGTGCCCGGAGGACTCTGGCGCGCCCTGGATCTTGTTCGTCTGGTTCTGTTCCGTCGGCTTGCTTAAAATCCGGCCCTACGATCCAACCCTGAGAAATGCATATTTTGTTTTGTCACGCCTGGATAGCCTTCCCTTTTGCAGCCAATTTCTCTGCTCCGTCTGTTCTTTGAACTTCTCTCTCTTCTGCCTCTTTGAGAAATCACAGGGTTGGTTTTTGTGGTTTTTCTCGGCCCAGTGGATTGACTGGGAGTGCGGTGCGGGCTCTGAGGTTGCACTGCCGGTGCTACTTCCCAAGACATGTCACTCAACCTCTGTGCCCATTTCAAGAGTGGAACAAATTATTGTCTAGAAATAGGACTGTTGTGTGTATTGCTGGAGATAGAACATGGAGTGTACTGGCACAGTGAAAGCCCTCAGTGAGCATTAACGGTAACTTGTTCTATTATACACTCTCTTGTTCCCTGTTGCTTTGGAAAGGAAAGTGGAACCAGCCAAGGGTGGAATCTTACATAGGAACCAGCTGAACCCTACTTGAAATCAGCTGCTTAGTTGTGCTAGGTACTGAAGGAAAGATGAGTAAAATCCAGGCCCTGCCATTAAGAACATGGAGATACCCAATAAATGATTTTGGAAGGAAAGAAATCCACTCTGGAAGAAATGGAAGGGACCAATTGAGCTGAAGATTTATCCTTAGGACAAAAGACTCACAGGATTATAAAACTCCGAAAGAGCTTAGAGATCATCTTTAGTTAACTGATTATAGGTAAGGAAAGTTGAATCCAATGAGGCGGATGATTAAAAGTCACACAGTTAGCAGCAGTGTTAAGACCAGAGTGGAGTCTTAAGACATTGACCGCCTCTGCCTAGTCTGTCAAAGGTGTTAATAAGGTAAGAGCAGATTCACTTTGAAGACTTTTACTTCCAAGTGAAAAGCACTAGAGAAATCTCAGGATAGGAGAACCAGAGGCAACATAACCTACCAGATGCCATATAGTTCTGATGATCATTTGAATGTCTGGCTTAGCTGCTGCTGGGTTTATTTCGACCACAGTAGCCCCTGAACTCCTTGGCACATTTCCTTTCTTCTCTAGAAATGAGGGATAAGAATATTGCTCGAGATTCCTCACCTTCAGTGTTAACAGGCTGGACAGGAATCAGTTACCCAAGCAGCTCCAGAAGGTAAGCATGGATTCAATGAATGTGTTGCCAATGACAGCACTATTTAATTTACCCTTCTATAATTGAATAGAACTATATTAGCAGTTGTTCTTAACTACTGAACCTTTGTTTTAGGAATATGACAAAGCTAGTCTAAGTGATATTATTCTAGAAATCTTGGTAATGGGTCTGTTTCCAAATAGCCCAGGTAATCCTGTAGACTAATAGAATAATATGGTTGAGATAGATGAAATTTCCCCCAACTCTATCATCCAGTGGCTCAAAGATCTCTTTAGTGATTTTATAGGCCATAGGAATTCAATAATCTTCCAAAAGTCACAAAGTTAGCCAGTGGCAGTCAGTTCTAGAATGTGAGTCTCCTAATTCCATTCATTCATGTATTCATCTGTAAGGACACCTGACCAGATATTAAGGATGCAAAGGTGAATAAAATAATCCCCTGCCTAATGGCACTTTCCCCTCTTTGCTACACATAAATCATAATTTGATAAAAATAAATACAAAATATAATGATGCTTTAATCAGATTTTAAATAATTTGAGCTACATTTTTAAGATTTTCAAATAACCACAATTTATACAGGTCTTAAAGTCAGCTTGTTTGGGTTGTATGCTCAGCTCTGCTATTAACTAGCCATCTGCTATGTATTACTTCACTGCTCTGGGTCTTACTTTGCTGTTAAAGATCTTTTCCTGTATTCTGACTAGTAGGAAACATGCAGGATATCACTATGGCCAGTAGACACCGGTGGTGACAGACTAACTTTTTTCCTTTCTTCTTTTTTAATCTGGCCAAAGACATCATTGTATCACCTATTTGAACAATGGCATATATTGGTGACAACTGGATAGTCCAAGACTTTGGGAGATGATAGAGCTAAAATGTTTGTTGAATGAGTAAAAGAATGAATGGATTCCAATATTAGTCTCCTACTGCTACCACAACTAGTACTTCTCATATTAAAACCCTTGCCCGCCCCCCCCCCCCCCGCTTTTCTTTAAAGACTGCTGGTTCACTCCCCAAATGTCCACAACAACTCAGTCTTGGCCAGGCCAAAGCCAACCAGGAACTTCATCTGGGTCTCCCTCTTGGGTAACAGTACTTGGGCCATTATCTGCTGCCTTCCAGATGCATTAGCAGGGAACTAGGTCAGAAGCACAGAGTAGTTGGAAATTGAACCAGCATGCAGCATTGGATGCAAGTGTCCCAAGGAGTGACTTAACGAACTGCACCATAATGCCTGTCTCCAAACCTCTCCTTTTAAAAAATGCTGTGGTGGTGGGAAGAGGAAGAAAAGGTGAGATAATAGATAGGAGTTGGATTGGGAGGAGGACAGAGAAAAAATGAAGGCATTGTGGTGTACTTCAAAGCAAGCATCCCTAAAGCTGTACCTATGAAAACTGTATTCATTAAATAAAAGGTTTCTTTAAAATAAATAAAAAATAAAAAAACAAGCATCAGTGCCTGTAGACTTTATGGGTGGAAAATTTTAATGTGTAGGACTTACTCTAAATTAATGTGGGAAGATAATATTTGTCATATATTGATACTGTTAATATATTCTATTTTTTCATATGTTCATATAGGAACATTTCTATATATGAGCATGCTTTGGAGCAGGTTCGTTATCAACAATAAAGTAAATATTGCAATAAAGTTAGTTATATGAAGTTTTTTGGTTTTCCAGTGCATGTAAAAATTATGTAGTCTATTAAGTATTCAACAGCACTACCTTAAAAATGTATATACTACGGCTCTCGGCACAAGCATGTACGGCAAAGGCAAGAGTAACAGTAGCGCCGTCCCGTCCGACAGCCAGGCCCGGGAGAAGTTAGCACTCTATGTATATGAATATCTGCTCCATGTAGGAGCTCAGAAATCGGCCCAAACATTTTTATCAGAGATAAGACGGGAAAAAAACATCACATTGGGGGAACCACCAGGATTCTTGCATTCTTGGTGGTGTGTGTTCTGGGATCTCTACTATGCAGCCCCAGAGAGGCGGGAAACATGCGAGCATTCAAGCGAAGCGAAAGCCTTCCATGATTATCCATTCATGTCACCTCGGTACCCTGGAGGTCCAAGGCCCCCATTGAGGATCCCTAATCAGGCACTTGGAGGTGTCCCAGGAAGTCAGCCATTACTCCCCAGTGGAATGGACCCAACCCGACAACAAGGACATCCAAATATGGGTGGGCCAATGCAGAGAATGACTCCCCCACGAGGGATGGTGCCCTTAGGACCACAGAGCTATGGAGGTGCCATGAGACCCCCACTGAATGCTTTAGGTGGCCCCGGAATGCCTGGAATGAACATGGGTCCAGGTGGTGGCAGACCTTGGCCAAACCCAACAAATGCCAATTCAATACCATACTCCTCAGCATCTCCCGGGAATTATGTAGGTCCACCAGGAGGCGGAGGGCCACCAGGGACACCCATCATGCCCAGTCCAGCAGACTCAACCAACTCGGGAGACAACATGTATACTTTAATGAATGCGGTACCTCCTGGACCCAACAGGCCTAATTTCCCGATGGGCCCCGGGTCAGATGGCCCCATGGGTGGATTAGGAGGAATGGAGTCACATCACATGAATGGCTCATTAGGCTCAGGAGATATGGACAGTATTTCCAAGAACTCTCCCAATAACATGAGCCTGAGTAATCAGCCGGGCACCCCGAGGGATGATGGCGAGATGGGGGGAAGCTTCTTAAATCCTTTTCAGAGTGAGAGCTACTCCCCGAGCATGACCATGAGCGTGTGAGCCCGCGGACCCCGCGGGGAGCCGGCCCTCCGCGGAACCACTACGGAAGATAATTACTCATCACAGCGTGCAGTCAACCAAGGAATCTCAGTCACACCAAGCCGACCTTTTTATTTCCTGCTCTCTCCCCTCTCTCGTGAAGAAAGCGGGTCCAAACGTGATTCAAACAACCGTCCGGAGCGGCAGACTCGCGCTGCCCGCCGCGGAACTGCAAATCATGCCCTGTGTGTGTCTGTGTGTGGGACGGCGGATGTGCTGTCCACGTGTATGGTAAACGGACATAGGCACATGCGTGCGGTGACCCACAGGACACTCACGAACACGATCACGTGGCATCTTACGTAGCGATAAGTAGGGACTTTTATTCCATCCTTTTTTTCACGTTTACATTTTAATTATTAAAAGTCGCTCCCGCCCCCTCCCTGAACTATTTTGTGCTGTGTATATCACTGCTTTATATAAGTTATTTTTTAAGGTGAACTCAGATGTTATGGTTTTGTAAATGTCTGCAATCATGGATAGGAATAAAATGGCTTATTTCAGAGCAAAAAAAAAAATGTATATACTACTTTATTACTAAAAAAAATGCTAATTGTCGTCCGAGCTGCACCCACATGGGAGACCGGGAAGAAACTCCTGGCTCCTGGCTTCTGATCAGCGCAGCTCTGGCCATTATGGAGTGAGCCAGGGGATGGAAGACCTCTCTCTCTCTCTCTCTCTCTCTCTCTCTCTCTACCTCTGGCTTTTAAATAATAAGTAAATAAATCTTAAAGAAAAAAAAAAAAAGAGTATCCTTGTCAGGCTGCAATGGCTGACTCGGTATACTGGGGAGTGAGCCAGGGGATGAAGACCCCTCTCTCTCTCTCTCTCTCTCTCTCTCTCTCTCTCCCTCTGGCTTTTAAATAATAAGTAAATAAATCTTAAAGAAAAAAAAAAGAGTATCCTTGTCAGGCTGCAATGGCTGACTCGGTATACTGGTCAAAGTCTGTCCCAGGAGGAGTACGATCTCCTGCAAGATGGACCTCTGCAGCTGAGGGAAACCCTGAAAAAGCTGACAGTTGGGGCTATCTGCTCACCCTACTCCTTGCAGCCCAGTAGCATGTGCTTCTTAAAAGGAAATCTGGGCAGCACATCTTTGCATCTCACAAAATGCAATACAAACTGACCTAAACAAGAAGAGGAGGTAATGACCTCTGTAACTGGCATGTTATGACAGGCATTGGCGTGATTGCTCCAGCAACTCAATAATCCCACCCAGGACCCCTGTTTCTTTCCCTCCTCCAGCTGCCTTCAGTAGCACCTGCTTCCTCTTACAGCCAGCTTCCTGGAGGTGCCAAAATGCTATTGCAGTCTGAAATCACATCTTCACAAAGAGCACACTCTCAGAGTAGGTGGGCTGCATTCAGTAATTTCAAGAAGATTCTCAGGCTAGAAAAGGAGAAAAATATACATTCATTTCTGCACCGGACCTCTACTCTCAATTTTTATCTTCCCCATTTTAGGGCAAGGCTGTATTTAGTCACCATTAAATTTAATGCTATCATATATATTCACCCTAGCAGCGAATGTTGGGCACAGCAGTTAAGATGCTGTTTGGGGGCTGGCACTGTCGCATAGCTGGTTAAGCCACTGCCGGCATCCCATATGGGCGCCAGTTCTGATCCCAGCTGCTCCACTTCTGATCCAGCTCTCTGCTGTGGCCTCTGAAAGCAGTAGAGGATGGCCCAAGTGCTTGGGCCCATGTGGGAGGCCCAGAGTAAGCTCCTGGCTACTGATTTTGGATTGGCACAGGTCCGGCCGTTGCGGCCATTTGGGGAGTGGGCCAGCGGATGGAAGACCTCTCTCTCTCTCTCTCTCTGCCTCTCTGTAGCTCTCCCTTTCAAAAAAAAATATTTAAAACAACATTAACAAAAGACACGGCTTGGGGAAACCTGCACCTCATATCAATGTTCCTGGGTTCAACTCCCCACCCTACTTCCAATTTTAGCTTCCTGTTGCTGTGCATCCTGGGAGGCAGCAGCTGATGGATCGAGTGTTTGAGTTCCCACCACCCACTTAGGAGTTACATCTGTTTGCTTTGGCCTGGCCCAGCTTCAGCTGTTGCAGGCATTTAGGGAGTGAAACAACAGATGGAAGGTCTCCATTTGTCTGTTTCTGTCTCTCCCTCTCTGTCTCTCTGCCTCTCAAATAAATTATAAAATAAATGAATAGAATTTTTTAAAAATAAAATTAAAGTCAGCCTAGAATCCTGTATTAGGCAAACACTGTGGTGAGTTAATAGTCCTCAAATCTCCCAGTCTTTAAACAGTTTGGGTTAGTTTCCCACTCACACTACAAGACTACTTGGGGTTGCAGAAAGGCCCTGCTTGCTGTAGTTGCTCAGGAGCGAGGACTGACTGAGCAGCCACTGTGCTTTACACGCCAGTAGCCAGGCCAGGGAGAAAAACAAGCTAGGAAGCACACACCATTCTTAATGCTTCCACCCCTCGCCTCACGTTTTATCAGCCAAAGCATTACCACCTGAGCTCATTCATGTCAAGTGGGCAGGCAAGTGCAATCCTATCATGGATAAGAAGGGGGAGAAATCTAGGTAAATGGTGAATAGCACTAATTACTAATAGAAATTCAGCTCTGTAGTTTAGGTCTCACTGACACAGGCCATCTAAAATCCAACTTATCAGTTTGGGAAGAAAATCCAAAGCAGCAGGAAATTTCCCCAACAGTTCCCCTCATTTAATTATAGTGTGAACAGTGATATTCTACATGTATCTGCGATTGTTCTGACATCATTAGTTGCTCAGCTTGGGAAATAATATAGTTCAAGGCAGTATCAGGTCTAGAACAGTGCAGTGAACTAGTAAGAGCTTTCCTCGTGAGAGTTTCTGCATCAAGCATGAATTTTAGAATTCCCTGGAGAACTTTTTAAATTGCATAGCCCGCTTTGAATGAGTCTCCCAGAGGGAGTGCCAGGTACGTGTATTTTATTCTTTTTATTTATTTATTTATTTATTTATTTATTTATTTATTTTGACAGGCAGACTGGACAGTGAGAGAGAGAGACAGAGAGAAAGGTCTTCCTTTTGCCGTTGGTTCACCCTCCAATGGCCGCCGTGGCTGGCACGCTGCGGCCAGCGCACCACGCTGATCCGATGGCAGGAGCCAGGTGCTTCTCCTGGTCTCCCATGGGGTGCAGGGCCCAAGGACTTGGGCCATGCTCCACTGCCTTCCCGGGCCACAGCAGAGAGCTGGCCTGGAAGAGGGGCAACGGGGACAAAATCCGGCGCCCCAACCGGGACTAGAACCCGGTGTGCCGGCGCCGCAAGATGGAGGATTAACCTAGTGAGCCGCGGCGCCAGCAGGTACATGTATTTTCAAAATGTGTGTTTTTCTTTACCCTTTATTCAGCTGAGGACCACTATCCCATAACATCATGATGTAAGCAACATAAATGAAGCACCATGTCAGTTTTGCTCACATTGTATTAGCAGTGCTTAGCATACATAACTTCTAAATAACAATATTATTGGTCATGTATCCACAAAATGTGGTTCTCAAACAACCCATGTCATATGCACAAGGGTTCCAATATCTGACATGGTGAAATCTCTTTAATAATCTCAGTACAAAGTCGGTGCCACGGCTCGCTAGGCTAATCCTCTGCCTTGTGGCGCCGGCACACCGGGTTCTAGTCCCGGTCGGGGCGCCGGATTCTGTCCCGGTTGCCCCTCTTCCAGGCCAGCTCTCTGCTGTGGCCAGGGAGTGCAGTGGAGGATGGCCCAAGTGTTTGGGCCCTGCACCCCATGGGAGACCAGGAGAAGCACCTGGCTCCTGGCTCCTGCCATTGCATCAGCGTGGTGCGCCGGCCGCGGCGGCCATTGGAGGGTGAACCAACAGCAAAGGAAGACCTTTCTCTCTGTCTCTCTCACTGTCCACTCTGCCTGTCAAAAACAAAAAAAAATCTCAGTACAACATTTCCCTGTTCCTTCAATTTTTAATCTACTCAAAAATGGAAATGAAGTTAATATGGTATATCTTGTTCTCTGTGAACACAATATATCTTCTTATGATCACAACTTCCTTTTCACAAGCTGTCACCTTAGTTAATTATTGTAATACTTTATAAAGTTTTGATATAAAACTTACCAGTCTACAGCAACTTTGGTCATCTTTTTAACTATTCAGCAATCAGAACATTTGCCCATCTTTAGTCTTCTGGTCTCTGTCATTTCCCTTGACATTTCTTAAAGCTGTAGTCACATCTGCATAATCCCTAGGCTGAAAATTGAGACACTTTATGGGGGAAACCTGGTTGGAAACAATAGTCGCTAGAATGTTTGAGTTGTGTCAACTTGCTTCACTTTGACATTAACAATGCATGGTATATGAGTTTGCATCCTGTTTGTTTTTCAAAGCAGAGGAAAATATAATCCTAGAGGAAAAGACAATTCAATTTGATTCATCACAAAATAATATAGTAGTAACTGTCTAATAGTGTGACTGTTTTTATTGGGGACTTTCTATAAACCAGGCAGATTCAAAATATATATTCACTCAAAAAATGGATAAGATTGTGCTTGATGACAGAGAAAGATATGATACAGCTCATATCCCAGAACAACTAATCTAATAGTAAAAGGCATTGACAACAAGTATTAGCAAAGATGAGGAGAAATTGGAAGCCTCATTCGTTGTTAATGGCAATGTCAAATGGAGCAGCCACCTTAGAAAAGAGTTTGACAGTTCCTCGAAAAGTTAAATGTGCAGTTACCATGTGAACCAGCAGTTCTGCGAAGTGTGTGTGCCCAAGAGAAGCAAAAATGTTGCTCATGCAAAAACTTAATGAAATGTTCATAGCAGCACTATCCGTAGTAGCCAAAAGTGGAAACAACCCATATATCCATCAGCGGTGAATGAATAAACAAAACCCAGTGCATGCAAGGAAATATCATTCAGCCATCAAGAGGAATGAAGTACTAGTACATGCTACAACATGGATGTCTCTTGAAAACGTTATACTAAGTGAAAGAAGCCAGATGCAAGAGGCTGCATATTGTGTTATTCTATTTATATTAAATATCTAGAATAGGAAAATCCATAGAAATAGATTAGTGTGTCTATTAGAGAAGATTAGTGATTGCCTGGAGGTGGGGAAAAAAGGGTATGGTAACTGACTACACCATGGGTATGAGATTTCCTTTTGGAGTGATTAAAAATATTCTGGAATGAGAGTGGAGATGCATACAAAAATTTGTGAATATGTGCTAAAAATCCCTGAAGGGTGTATTTAATTTTATTTAAAAGATTTATTTATTTATTTATTTGAAAGGAAGAGCTACAGACAGGCAGAGGCAGAGAGGTCGGTCTTCCGTCCGTTGGTTCACTCCCCAGATGGCCGCAATGGCCAGAGCTGGGCCTATGTGGAGCCAGGACCCAGGAACTTCTTCCAGGTTCCCCATACAGGTGCAGAGGACCAAGGACTTGGGCCATCTTCTACTGCTTTCCCAGGACACAACAGAAAGCTGGATCAGAAGTGGAGCAGCTG